TAATTTCTTTCTATTTTTGGTAGAGACAGGGTCTCGCTCTTGCTCAAGCTTGTCTCGAACTCCTGAGCTCAAACAATCCGCCCACCTCGGCCTCCCAGAGTGCTAGGATTACAGGCGTGAGCCACCACGCCCGGCCAAAAAGCTGATTTTTAATAGTGGTTGCACCACCTATGACCTGCAAGAATTAAGTTTAACCACTCAGCACTGCTAAGAATTAGCTCCCTAGCCTGTGCGATTCCTAAAAATAATATATTTGATTCTGACTTCTTTCTAAATTTCCTTCCCTTCTTTCCTTCCTTCCTCCCTTCCTTCCTTCTTTCCCTCCCTCATTCTTTTCTTTTCTCTCTCCCTTCTTTCCTTTTCCTTTCGGAGAAGTTGTTTCTAACCAAGAGGCAAAATCCCTTTTCCCATCCCCAGTTTCTGTTCCATTATCTATATTTTTGCCGCAAAGGTAACCGCATTTCCTTCAAGTCAATCCTCTACATTTCTGGCAAAAATCCTTGGGGATCTTTGAGGAATGAGTTTTCTATAAGAATGTAAATTAATTTATTAACTAGAATGCTACAGATTGCCTTAGAGGGCCTCAGCATGGAAATGGCTGCAGAGTTGCAAAAGATTATGATTCTGCTCTGCCTCCAAAATCCTCCCCAAGATCTCTGGGGAGCCCGTTGAGTTCTCTCTCCTCCTTCCATCCTTCTCTGGGAGTCGCATAAAGTCTTCTAGACCAGTTGAGAAGCCTACGCATGTAGGATCAGAACCCTAGCCTCAAACTCAGGAAAGCGTTCCTTGTTTTCAGGATCCCGCATGTTAACAGCATCTTTTCTGACCCATCTGCGTGATGTCACGTGACCTCTTCAAGGCAACTTGGTGCACACAATAAAGTCCATCTGTCTCTCCTTCCTCAGTCCTCTTGCCCTCATGGACCACAACCCTGGCTGCTCTCCAAACAGCCTGCCTTTATTTGGCGAGGGGGGCATTTGGACACACGCTTTGGCCAGCCTGGCTAGATGTGGCTTTTTCAGGCAGATCAGAAGGTGGTGCGGCAGGAGCCTCTGAGCCTCGCAGGTGGACCTTCTCAGCTGCCACCGCACACAATGTCCCAGCTCGGCTGCATTTCTGCCGCACGAGTGGGAGCTGTGTGAACTCGGGAGGGCAACTGTGAATGGCGCAGCATCTGATATGAATTTATCACCGGCTGCTGGGGGGGCGGTTAGAGCAGGGGAAGGGGCTGTGAGTGTTTAATGCGCCCTGCCACAACCCAACAGTTTGCCCTAAAAGAGCCTTTTACCAATATAAAGGGACAGGGTCAAAAGTAAGTTGACCCCTGACAGAATGTACAATTATTAGAAGGAGGCTGTGTACGAGCAGCTGCTGGAACCCCACTGGCTCCGCGTCGGGCTTCCAAGAGTCAGAATATGAATAATCAACTCAAGATTGTTTTCTCCACCCCCTCACCTCCCACCATCTCCCCCCAAGCTTCCCCTCCTGTTTTGGGCAAGTCCTATTCTATTTCTACAGGAAGAAGCATGGCCCTCCCTAGCAGCTGCAATAATTGTGTTCCCATTGTGATGAAGACCTCCTCCTGGCCACCCCCCTACAAGTGGCCATTGTGAGTGGAGAGTCAGTGATTACACGCTCCCCCTGGTGCTTTGGGGGACCCAGCTGCCTAAGTGCTGACACACGAGCATGCGGAAGGCCGGGGAGGGGGCTGGTGGAGGTGGAGGCAAGAGGTGGGGGAGCCCACGTCTGTGAGATGGGACTGTGACATACCAGACCTTTTGCATAAGTCAAGCCCAGAACAAATGAGGCTTTATCAGGCCCCAGTGATGAGGGGTCTCATCTCCCTTTGAAGTGGAGCTGAGCATGGGCCTAGCAGCTTTTCCTCCTTTGGACCAAGCAAACATCCTTCTTTTGATACGCTGCATGCTCATTATCTCTGCCCCATTTAATGATTTTTGATTGAAGGGTGGCGGCTGGGATGCCGAGAGGATCGTTAGAGAGGCTCCGTGCAGCCAAGCCCATAAGAAAGGCTTTCCTTGTGCCTGGGCCTAAATTCGGAATTTCTTAACAGTGTGCCGCTTGTTCTTAGAGGCAGATAAGGGCTGAGCGTGAAATTCTTAATTAAGCAATAAATAGAGAGTGGGGTGTCAGCAGATGTAGCCAGTAGCCATGGCAACGGGAATCACATGGGCAGGAGAGCCGAGACTCCATGTAGGCCTCGGGCCTGGGCCTGACTGACAGCTGAAGAATCCTACAAAGCTTGTAAACCAGATTAATTAGCTGACTAATTATTTCATAGCGTTAATGTAACTAAAAAATAAAAATAGTTCACCATGAACTGAAACATCCCTGGAAAAAACAGCAGGGAAAGAGGCAGCGGGAAACTGGCTCTGTAACGCAGAGACAGAAGCAGCCACTGAATCAAATCGCACACACGGAAAATGGGCTCGCCAGGTTTTTTCTCCCGACTTTGCAAATATAAAACAACACTTGTTCTACAGCCATACTCATTCCCAAGCATGGCATTGAAGTCAAAGTTGGGAATGGCCATTCATAATGGTTTATCACATTGAATATTGTTCCTAACACAAACTACAGCACAAGTCCTTTACCTGTGGTCTGTTTTGTAAGTAGCTCCTTGAGCAAAATTCTCAGGGGGCTTTAGAAAGGCAACTTGAACCAATCTCCTTAAAAGATATTTTCAAATGAGCAGTATTATCTTATTCTGTGGATAACAATTGCTTAAGTGGTACTGGTTTTCAATCATGGGAACTATATATCATATGCGTCATATTATTGTGGATCTCAGTTATCTCGCAAAATCTAGTAAAAGGAGGTAGAAAGAGACCCTTTCAGAAAGGTTATGACATGTACACCGAGTTTAAGACGTATGATATCGTTAATTTTCTGTGCACAAAGGAAAATTCTAGAGAAATAGTCTATTGAGAAATTTTTTAGTAAAGTAACATGGCATGCTAAATCACACTTTAATATGTTTGGGTATTTTGTACCATGATTCCAAGAAACAAGTAAATATTCTTAACCTGATTGTATAAAGGAAGCCACTGAGGCATGGAGCAATTATAACGCCATGCCCCAGGTAAAATAGCCAGCCAGCCACTGATTAAAACCCTAAGCCCCAAGCTCTAGCCATGAGCTTTCAAAAATAAAAATAAAAAACCTGCACTCCATAAAGATGTTTACTGAACAAAGACAAAACTTGTCTTGGTGGAGAAGAAAAATGCAAGGGTCAGAACATATTATATGTGCAGGATTTTTTCTTTGTCACTAGGGATCAGTGAGAAGTTTTCTCCCACAACTCTGCCTAGCACCCGCTCCCCTCCACCCACCGTTTTTGGTCAGTGATCCATGATTAGTTAGTGGGCAGCACACTCTAGTGGAGAGCCCCACAGCCAGGAGCCAGAATGCCTGGGTTCTGGTCTTTTCCATCCTCAGCTGGGGCTAAGATGAGTCATGTATCTTCAATCACACATGAAGCAGCCAAATGGAGGAAATGAAGATAATTGTGATTTTTTAAAAACTTCCTATCCTGGGGGATGTGGTAAGGTTGCAAACAAACAAGACAAAAGATGGTCCACTTAGAAGTGGTCAACCAATGAATGAAAGCCAGCCAATTGCCAGTGAAGCAGCGCTCAGAATGAAATGCCAGCCAAGAAAAGGAGCTGCACCCCCTGCAAACCTGACATGGAATTCTGCGGACCTGAAGGAGGTCAAGCAGCTTCCCTACAATAAAATGAAACTTCTATTTACACAACTCTTCCCATGCTTTTTCACCCCAGGAATATGCCAACATAGACTATGAAGTCTTGACATTTATTTTATGTAAATTATCCCAGCATGGTCCTATACAATCAAGTGACCTAAAAAAAAAATAGTTGAAAGTAACAATCTAATCAATATGTAAAGTGCATGGAACACAACAGGAACTCTACTGACTGGAGCCTTAATGGGGTACCAGCTACAACAACTACCTCACTGCCATCATGGCATTGGGAAATGCAAGCAGGTCTATAGAAAACATGGTAGCCTAATCACCACCTTCCTACAGATCTTGTAAACTTTACATAGAGGGTATCCAAAATTATAACCAAATCTACATAACCTAGCGTAGCTGTATGAGTCACCACCGTGGAGGAGCATTACAACCCTCACTACCTCCTGAGTCCTCATCTCCTCACTGTGCCAGCCCAGGAATGGGAACAGAAGTGCTTCTAGCCACTTGTCTACCCCATACACTCAGAGGATGAAGGAAGCACCAATGTCCATAAAAGCTACTACTGGGAATCTTCTTCAAGGAGCAAGGGTCTCCAAGTTTATTAAACATTCGACAAACTCTATGTGACTTCCTGGTATTTTTTTCCCCAATTCATATTTGAAGGTAGAGTTAGTAGGATATTCTGATGCAGAGAATTTTAAAAAATTAATAAAGGCTGTCTATTTCATAAAAATGTTTTATACTGAAATTCATCTACATCATATATATACACATACAGATGTCCATGTACACATAAGTATATATGCCCACACACACAGCTACTTACACAGATGTGTATATACCACATGTGTATACATAGTACAATAGTATAACTTGCTATTAATTGAATTACTAGTGCTATCAAAGAGGAAGAAAATCCATAGCTGCATGAGTTGATTTTTTTTCTTTGTGCCATAAATTCTTTTATTACATTTGATTTATGTGAATATTAAAATTAGCTTACAGTTCATGAACAAAATCTGACCAATTGACAAGACAGGATCTTCAGAAACATGCCAAGGAATAGCAAGAGAACAATTCAAATTAAAATTTTATTCCAGAATACATCTCAAGAAAATAGCTATAAAGTTAATGGCAACAATGCTTGCTCTTACTTATGGCTGTATGCAGCTCTAGTGGTAAAACAATCTCAGGGATCTCTGTCTGTCCTGAGTTTTTATAGTTTTAGGTTACATTTATGGGTGGATCAAATAAGAAATAAAATGTTAATGGTACAATTCAGTGCAAATAAAATATACAACAATTCGTTTGGTAAAGACTTGAAAAAAATACCAGGGAAGCACCAGAGTCTCATCTCTGAAGCTATCAAAATGTCACAGTTCCAGGGCTCACCTCTAGACCAGACTGAGTTGGCATACAGTCAGGCACAAGTGAGAGAGAGACAAAGAACTCAGGACCATGGCCCAGCCCTCCAAGTCCTTAGGGCCATGCCTTGTTTGTGGCAGGGGCTGGAACTTGCTACACTGATAAGGTCCCCTGAATTTGACCAGTATCTATTAAGACTAATTTATAACAAAATTGTCATTCTAGACACCCACTTTGCCAAATTCCTTTCTCATTACACACCACTGTAAGAAGTGGTCTCCCAGTGAGCTGAGGTTAGTACAGGTGAACACCGCGGTGCTCAGAGTGACCTTTTCCGTACCCTGTGCTCAGAGTGACAGCGTATGGAAAAGGAATATAAGATAAGCTCCAGGGAGTCAAAAGAAAAGAAATGGATGGTCCTGACTCTCATACTGGATCCTGCAAAACATGCACAATAAGAAGGTGAGGAAATCTCCTTGCCCTCTGTTACTCTGCAATCGCATCAGGGTTCCTGGTCCTGTGAAATGACATTGCTGGGTCCTTTGTCCTGAGGCTAATCCTGACACAAGACAGACACAGCCAACCCCTCAGCCCTCAGATCAGCCGTCCATGCCATCTCCTTTTCCTGACCTCAGGTTCCCTTCCAAGGTTTTCCTTCTCACCTCCCACAGCAACTTCAGTCTCAATTCAGCCTCTCTCTGTCGCTGTCACCTTGTACTCTCTGCTGTTCCTTATATCCGTGGCCATAATCAGCCAACCATCTTTACACGTGCGATTGTTCACTACAAATACAACACTACAAAGTGAATTAAAAATATTAATAACCACCAGTGCTTACTAAGCACTTGCTGTGGGTTAGGCACCCTGCTAAAAAGTTCCGTGTGTTGTCCTTTATTTAATTTCCTGTCCTTTGAGGTAGGTCCTCTGGTTCTCCAGCTCTACGGGGGAGGAGGCTGAGATTCAGGGAGGAAGAGCACCTGCTCGGTGCGCTGTCGCTGGTGGGTGCTGCAGCTGGGATCTGAGCCCAGGCAGTCTGATTGCAGAGCACCCTCACCTAACCATCACACACTCCTCAGCACTTCCCAGCACAAGTGCCTGGAATTCAAGAGTAAATGGTGGTTTCTATGTGTCCTCAAAACACTCATCCCCATTGGATACTTACCCAGATAGGTGAGTTGCCTCAACTGGTGATCGAAGAACCAGTCACAGCCTTGGTTCTGACCAGGTGAAGGAAGGAATGGAAGAGACAGACCCACATGACTCCCGCATCTTATGAGGATGTCAGGGGCAGGTGGCAGTTCGGTGTGCACCAGCAGGAGGGAATTCCCAGGAGCAAAGTTGTCGAATGTTGCTGAGTACTTGAAGAGAGAGAAAAGCACAAATATTTTCATTTAATAAGGAAGCCCCTTGCCCAAAACAACTACAGAGAGTGCAGATGGAGTAGTTTAGAAATAAGACAGAGTTCAGACCCAGACTGTACTTTTCTTGTGGGAAATGGGCCTGCTTAAATCCACTCCATGATAAATTCATAACTAGAGCTACAAAATCATAGACTGTGAAGACTGAAAGATGCCACGAGATTCTTCTTATTTAACAACTTCAACTAACAGAGGAGGAAACCAAGGTCCAGACAAGTGAATCAACTTGTCTCAGATCAGTCATCTAGAAGAGACAGGGCCAGGTCTAGAATTCCTTTCTTTTTCCCACAGCTTAAAGAGGCAGGCAACCATAGGACTGCCATCCATTTATAACGGTAATAGCTAGCACTGTTGGAGCATTTACTACACAGTCAGGCACTGTTCATTAGAGTCATTCAATCCTCTAAAGACCCCCTGTGATTGTTACTCTTATTGCCCCATTTAACAGTTGAGGAAACTGAGGCAGGCAGAAGCTCAGTAACTTGTCTATATCACAAAGCAGGAGAGTGCCGAGCCAGGCCATAAACTGAGGTGTCCACCTCCAGAGTCACATCCTACTGCCTTCACGGTACGAAAATTTCCCAGAATGTTCTCACGGGAATCTCAAGGAGAGGAAATAGAGGTGTAGTGAGGAGACCAAAAGTGACTCTGCTCTGAATTCCTCATAACTGTGGCACACCTAAAGCAGCTCTATCTCCCTAAGATCTGCTCTCAGGACTGCTAGGGGAGATGTGTATGATGCAACGGGAAGAAAGAAATGTGTTAAAAGGAAGAAAAGAAGCTTGAGGAAATCCACTACATTGCTTTTTTAAACAGAAAATGCACCTACTTTCTGCATAGCTATTTCTATCTTCACCCCCGCTAACCATTTGACTACTTTAACCCAACCCAGCCTGGGGACTGAGACCTCTAGTTGCATGTTAATCATTGACCACAAGGTGGCAGTATGCAATGTATAAATGCCTCGTTAAGACATTTTCTCTGGCTACAAACACTTCTCTCTGGAGGAAGTTGGTTTTTAGCCTGTGATTTTTTTTTAAGTGCAATTCTACAGAATGCTTAGAATTTATTTTTCATTGTATGAATAAATTTAAAATTTTAGGCAAAATTATCTTGCATTCAAGATAACATTTAAACAGATTTTTAAATTTTCAAATTAAAAAAAAGCAACCAAGTCTTATATTCAGATTATATTCAACTGGCCAAAATGCCATTGTAGTTTTCTTTATTAGCATCAGAGCATTCTAAGACTTGCAACCCATTATTTCACACAAGAAAAATTAAGGACCCCTCGGTATGCGGCACAGGGATGAATAGATTCCTGGGGTTACCTGCAGAGATCTGTTGATCCAGGGGTTTTCAAATCGCAGTGAGTAGGTCTCTTGGTCCAAGAGCAGAGCCATCCAGCCATCAGGGTTAGACAAGGTATCACGGACGTAATTGACAGTGTTTGTCTTATTTCTGCTGTCAGTCAGGGTTAAATCATAAGGAATATCAGGAGCATTAGCTCTGTGGTGATTTTAAGAGAAAAAAAAAATAAGTTCCAAGGTTATTTGCGTTCTTTTTCCATCAACGGCAATCATCTTTCTGTTCTCTCCATGTGTCTTAGGCCCTCTTGGTCTGTGTGTCTATGGAGGTTTCACCAGTCGCTGTGTGGGTCAAAACAGCCCCGTGAGAAGCTGCCTTTGGATTGTTCAAACATTACACCGGCCTGTGCACTGTGAACTAGAGGAAGTACAATAACACTCAGATCTTAGGCCACTAATAAATGTCATGTTCATGTGGTCCAAGACTATGTACTATTATTTTAACAAAGAAATGTCTAGGGCCGGAATTTTGCTGTAGACCAGGTTTATCAACAGCAGAAAACATGTTATCATTGGTAATTAGCTATTCCCTTGGGGTGCAATGACAGAGACCTTGGACCTGATGTCGCTGGGCTCTCAGATGCCCTGCTCCAACTGCCCAGCAGGAGTGGCTTCAATAGCCTTCCCTTGAACGAAGAGATAAGCTGGCTCCTCTTCTGTGGGCTTGCATAATGCCCAGGGCTCACTGCTGTTATGGTAGCTCTGTGTTCTTAAAAGCAGATTGTAAGATCCTTAAGTTAGAGGTGTTTTCTCCTTCCTGTTGGTAACCTCTGCCCTGGCACAGGGCCCTGCACACAATGGCACCCACGTCAAGTTTGTTATGTGAATGACGAACGTATGGATGAGATCTTCCTAAAGCAGCCAGTATCATTTTCCTAATTTATATAAAGGGTTTCTAGAAGGACCTAATTTTGCCAAATGAGGAAACTAAGACTGAGCATGGCAAAAGTAATATGTGAATATAACAAGATAGAACTAGAAATCTGTGATCCAAGATCCCCCAAATTATTCTGTACAGCCCATCCCAAAAAGTGATTTTTAAGACTTCATTAGAACATAAATAGATTTAGCCAAATGCTAAGACCCTGAAAGAGAGTCAAAGTGGACCTAAAGAAATAAAGAAAAAGTAAAAAAAAAAATCAATACACATTATGACTGTCCTTCCTCCTTTGGTTTAGTTTTCAGGAGAATCTTTAACTGTGGCATTTTGCTGCAAGCAGATAATTAAATTCTCAAAGTAGAGGGAAATGAGACGAAGGGTGATGTTGGGTTTTCACAATGAGGTAGGGCATGAGCATATCTAAAGCCAATTCATAAGCCAGTGGCATATTATAAAAAGGAAAATTTTTCAATGTTGCATGCTTGGGCACTGAAATCAAATGGGCATAAATTGGAAATCTAGATTAGCACTCAAGTAGGTGTATGAACTTGGACATATTACAGACCCTATTTAAGATTTAAATTTCTCTCTTTTTAAAATACAGGCAATAATAGTATACACTGCATATAGCTACTACGAAATTTAGATAATCCCTGCAAAGCGCTCAGTAGCCATTATTAAGCTCAACAACAGCTACCTATATCTTATCTAAGAAAGAACCTCAGTTGTGCCAGATTTACCATTCTGCACAACTTATTTTAATGTCTAGAGGGTTATCCAGGATTTGGTCATCGAAAAACATTCCCCAAACCTTTCATGGTACAGATCATTGACCCTGGCAATGTCACACTTGATATATATTTCTTGCAAAATTTAATGGGTTTGTTTCATCCATTAATTAATAAAATGAAAGAGATGAAAAATGCTCAGGGCATTTGGGAATAAATAACTACTCTTCTCCCAGAGTTCCCTATGCAGCATTAATTGAACCTTTAGAAATCTTGGAGAAGGAGAAAATTTCTTCTTCTCTTGAGCTTGAGATACGTAGGGTATGGTTTTGTTTGTTTGTTTGTTTGTTTGTTTGTTTCCCATCAGGATTTAAACTGGAACTAATGACTAACGCTTAACTCAAATTGCTAGAATCAGAATTGACATAGGGACACAAAGGTCATCTGTTCTGACTGTCAATCTATTGCAGGAATGCCCCCCATGACATTTCATCCCACCCCTTCTTCCATTTATAGGGTGTTCACATCCTCAAATAGGCCATGTGGAATTTATTTTTAAATTGTAATCTTTAGAAAAGCTTTAGAATGCTAAATTTCCTTCCTTTCTCTTTCTAGCCATTTGCCCTATCATCATGGCTCTCTCCTCCCCTAGCTGAAACCATATCCCAGGAGATTGTCTAGCACATTTGGGCCAACTATATTTAACAAACAAAAATAAGCTTCTAGGAAATAAATGTTAAAGCATGTGATAAGAAGAGATTAGTTGGAACTAAGAAATATTAGAGAGATGGATGAGTTGGCTGCAGTAGGCGCCATGGTCAATACGTAAAATGGAATTCCCCACAGTCCAGAGAATGATTCTAAGTGTTTCAGGTTCTGAAAGTGCATCATTTCAGCTTTCACAGAGATATATGGGCTCTGAAAAATAAATCACAAGACTTAATCCAGGAAAGACAATTAATAAATCACATAGTGAGAGTTCAGTAAATACCTGTTGAATGAACAAACAAATGCACCAGAACACTCCAACTGGCTACTTAGTGACATTTCCCCCTAACACGGAAGTCTACCCAGAAAACCATATAAGTATCAGAAGAGTTCTTGTACACTTATTAATCAAAAGAGATGAGCAGTTGATCATAAGTTACCAGAGCTCAATACTGATAACCCCATATCAATAGAATATTTGCCAAGAAGACTTAAACACTTACATTTGGTGGTCAGAAAACCTCTCCTGGGCACATACCAGCCATACACACTAACAATGGTCTCTGGTCCAGTATAATGCTAGGGTTTACTTAAGAACTCATATTTCTTCTTGCCTAGGCAAGTACTCTCAATTAAACCATTTTTAAAAATAATTTTATTTTAACTATAGACCAAAAGAAGAACTCATTTGTTCAAATGCATGCATCCGTTTGCATTTAATTCTTCCTGCCTTACCAGCCAATACTTTGTCATTATTTTCTCACCCATCATGCATACCACCTTGACAATTATGAAAATATTACTTCAATATGTGACAATACGATCAATTGGGTATATATTTCCAGAAATGTTTCCTAATTCCAGCAATGTGGCCCCAAGAACCCCCCTGGTCACTTTGAATGAACTCAATTATTTCTCAAAGTTCTGTTAGCATCACAGTTTTTAGGATGTTATTTTTCCTGATTTAGTTTCTATAGATTGTAATTTCAATTTTTGAAGGGAGCATTTTTTCAAACCATCTCCTCAGTTTCCGAAGGCCCTTGTAAACATAACCCCCTCTTCAACTATTGTCAAACCTAACTGCTAGCATTAATTAGGTTCTACTTGCCCTTAGGACCTTTATACCTTCCTTTTGACGTTCTCCTTTCAATCAGCATCCAATAATCTGATGCTAACCCCTTGGTCCAACCAGAGCACATTGTGATCCTAAATTACCCTTTCCTCTTTCCCCTTATTCATTGCCCATTCTCTCAGAGCCTGGATCCTGTCAAAACTCCCCATCCATCTCAACCAAGGTTAGTTCAGGATGCAATTTCATAAGCAGTCATGTGCAGCGCCAGAGTTCTGTAGTGCAACACAGGTAGAGAAGGAGGTTATAAAATATACCTTTATCACTGCTGGTAGCAGAAGGAGTCATATGGTGCACTCTGAAAAGCAAATCAAAATGTAAAAGACTCATCTCCCAGTAGACAAGATGCTTTGAATTGACCATCACGGGACGGGGGCAAAAATTCAAAGTCAGATCAGCTCCTATCCTACTGGGCCAGATGCCAGAATTGACAGTAGCAGGGCCCTTCTGAAAAGCACCAAAAGAACATCCAGAGTCAAAGAACACCATGAAGAGAATTTACCAACCATAATTACTACAATTTTCGCTTGCCCTAAATAGCCACCAATTTCCCCGTGCCCTAAATAGCCACCAATCTCCCTCTCCTTACTGTTAATGAAGCAAAGGAGCACAAAAGTATTTCTAATTTGGAGGAGCCAAGGGAGTCTGCATGGGCCATTAGCAGCAGAGAGCTTCATTACTAGGGGAAGAAGTCTCTCCCTGAACTTCTCGTGGCTTTATGTGCAAGAAATCAGGAGGCAACCAGTCCATTTTAAATGTTAACCCTTACCTCTGCATCAGCAACAGCTCCTCCTGTCTGCAATCGAAGAGACAAAAAGACCATAAGCCTTACATGTTATTTTCCTTTTCTATGGGATGCTTTAATTTTGGTTCTCTTCTTTTTAATACTCAAAACTATTTTTAATTCAGGGATATATGTCCCTTTAGAAATAACACTATCATTTGGTAAAATTTCCTGGCCAAAGTACCAAATTGCCATACTAGTTGCTTAAATAGTTATGTAATTTAGTGCCCATGGACTGTGCAGAACTGTTGAATGTATACTGCCCACAAAGGATTTGTTAGGCAATCAGCAATACCAATGAGAACAAATATTAACTCCCTTGTTTTTGTTTACCATTAGCTTACTTTTCCTGAGGGTCCCTATCTCCGTGTATTAAGATAAACACTGCGTTGAGCTCAAAATGCTCTCGATTCAGAACAATTGTGAAATAAAACCTTTATAATTATGCATTTCCTAAGCCAGGCACATCATAATAGCCAGCCTCAAATGGTGCTGCAAGCATCTTCTGGATATTTGTGCTCGCTGCTGTCACTCTCATCTTTTACTGCACAAAAGCGACAAAATTGAAATTGCGAGCGCAGCCAACCAGTTTTTGTGGCACAGCTTTGCGTGAGTATCCTTTAAAAATACACTGAGCTCGTAACAGTCCTTGTCACAGGATCACTATCCTATCTGCTGACCTGCCACCATTCACTAATATTTTATGTATCATCAATAAGATTTTCTATCGATAGCCTTATTGATTCAGAAACACTTAAATATTTCTCCTTTAGAGTAAGGTAAAAAACCTAAAAAGAGGAAAGAAACTACAACATTCAGTCTTTTTCCAAACTTTTAAAATTACTTAAATTTATATACAAGATAGAACTGGTAAACAGAGAGACAAGCCTTGTGTTTCCGGTGGGCTCACCCC